ACTCTTGATTGTAGAGTGACGCGCAATTACTAGCTAACGTTTTTACAAGATGACCGGGTTGCCACGATGTCGATTAGGTGGCGATTTTAATGGTATTAATAACAAGAGTGTCATAATATGTATGATATCCTATTATCTACTCCTGATATATATATATATTTGATATTATGACACTCCTGATAATAATACCATTAAAATCGCCACCTAATCGACATCGTGGCAACCCGGTCATTTTGTAAAAACGTTAGCTAGTAATTGCGCGTCACTCTACAATCAAGAGTAATTAGATTTAATAGTAGGCATACCATACTTATATACGACTTACACAGATAACAATAAATCTCATGAAAATATCATCTAATTCAAGAACCCGATAGATTCCGGTAGACAGACTTGACCATTTAGAAATGACGCGACAAAAAACGTCTTCTGTAAAATAAAGAATAAAAATGTGTAATATTGCGATAAAAACGTCTATTAAAAACTATTCAAATAAGGTACAAAAAAGGTAAATAATCAGACAATGGGCAAATTTGGACAGTGGACTTAAATATTGTTAAAATGTCGTAATAACTATACGATGTGGCTACTGTAGACAGAGCAGGGAAATGAGCAGGTACGAAATCGCCGCCCCAATTACGTGATACCCGCTGCGAGATATGCATTATTTAGTAGTCCTATGTCGACGCATGTATTAAAATGTTAACAACACGCGTCCGCTACTCTGCCTGATATAATTATGTAATGCATAATTACTTATGACCGGGGAGTTACAATCACTGAACTACTCCCTCCATTGGCAATCAATGTCATCCTGCCGTATTTCCTCAGTACTCACTATGACTGTTGTTGTGTGTATATTGTTGCAGCGATTATGGACACGTATTATCTCTACCCTGTCGATTGCTTCAGGAAGATGGTGATGATCAACGTTTCCCAGCAACTTTCGCCATTTCTTTTCCCGTGCATCATAGAGTACAGCCTCATCGTGTCCGGTATGCATGGCCGTATACAGAATATATCTTTTAGTCGTGTACCGCAACTTTAGACGTAGAGTTGGAATTGCGGAACCCAATCGTATATAGGCTCTGTCAGACACTATATAGGCACCGTTGTTTCTCTATTGTTTAGGTTCACGTTGCAATTGTTATAATTATCAGCGTAATAAGAGTAGTAACCAAAGTATAGGTCTATCGCTACATAATATCACCTATGAGGCTATAAGTATAAGCTACCATAGTTGTAGCCTCTTGAAATTATACAATCTAGTGGTCTCATACAAAAAGAACAAGATTTAGGCATGCTGCAAGGATAATTAACGCTACGGGTTGCATCGACCCGTACGAACCTCCACAGTAATGACATTTCTACATTGCGTATATACAGGCATCATATTCATCATGTGGAAAAACATCGGGCATGGCTCACCGGTGAAAGTCGGGGAAGCCGTGAAAGCTCCGACTAGTGGAATTCGCATCGACACTGACAATGCCACTAAGGGACTCTTCCTCGGTCTGGTCGTATTCGTTCTGACAGTTATCAACATCATAATATTCATCATCATGGTGAACGAGCAGGACTACAGACACAGCGCTGTCATCGCATCACATTCGTTCGAGATCGTTGCTTACCTGGTCGATCTTGTCTGCATCATAATGGGTTTATTCCAGGTAAGGCGCTTGTGCCAGATTCCAAATAATCATGATAAATAAATAAATAATAATCATAAATAAATCATAATAAATCATAAATACAATAATAATAATAAATAATAATCATTGTAATATAATAATAATAAATAATAATCATAATCATATATAAATCATAATAAACGAAACCATTATAATTATAATTAAATACGTTTAATACCTGTACCTATTGCATTTTTCTCCATTAATTGCAAATAATACGGGCCTAAGGCGTAAATGAATATGATCGCTAATAATAGTTGCGTGAGAAATAGCCTGTCGCTCGTGTAACATTACCTAGGACATCCAGAATAAGCAGTACGGTAAGCTAACGCAAACACTAGCAGCCGTCGACTGAGGGAGAGAGGAGGAAAGAGGGGGAGGTGAGAGAAAAGGCGATGTGATAGAAAGGGGAGGAGGTGAGAGAAAGGGGAAGAGGTGAGAGAAAGGGGAGGAGGTGAGAGAAAGGTGGAGGTGAGAGAAAGGGGAGGAGGTGAGAGAAAGGGGAGGAGGTGAGAGAAAGGGAAGAGATGAGAGAAAGAGGAGCTAGGAGGTGTGTGTGTGTGTGAGAGAGAGAGAGAGAAAGAGAGAGAGAGAGTGAGAGGAGAGATGAGAGAGAGAGAGAGAGAGAGAGAAGAGAGAGAGAGAGCGAGAGAGAGAGATAGATAGATAGAGACGAGATAGAGAGAGATAGAGGGGAGGTCAGAAGAAGGGCGGAGGTGAAAGAAAGGGTTGCGTGCGCTTGCGCGAGCGTGCGTGTGTGTGTGTGAGGGAGGTGAACTGTGTGCGTGCGTGCGTGCACAGGATGTACATATCGACGTGTATGTACGCTACGTGTTAAACATACGACATCTATACTTTTCTGCGGTGGTGGTGTATAGGTAAGGATGCTAAGCTTCGAGGACCAGGAGGCGACTGGATACATGGCTGCTATTCCATCGCGCATCCAGCTAGGAAGTGATTAATGTACGCAGGATTCAGATAATAAGCTGCACAGCGCCGCACACTCAACGATGTTCAACAGCATCATCATCATCGTCGCCAACATCAGCAAGGCCATTCCAGGTAGTAGCCTGCAGGACCTCTTAATCCTCCGTGCGTCGCGAGGAGGTTACTCGGACCCGGACGGATTCTGACGGGAACCGGGACGCCAACTGCGTTAACTAATCTGATCGTTCGTTCTAACTTTTCGCTGTGGCTCTCAGCACGTTCTCCCGTGCAGAAGGTTGGCAGGCGGAACACTGTACAGCTTGATTTCTCACTAGGTCTTGTTACCACGTGGACGATCATAACGCCAATCTCTGTTAACGCCTTCTGTCTATTTTCTTTTTAACCGCTTTCCAACTCGAGCAGTCTGCCGCCTACTTTGAGATATGGAAGAGAGATATAAACCGAGGAAGTCCTAGCCGTGTGCTGTAGCGGTAGACATTAGTCAGCAGTAGGCATTGTAAATTCTCGCTCGATATCTCGCTTACTATATCCCTTCTCTCCCCTTCTCTCTCTCTCTTTCTCTCTCTCCTCTAATCTCTCTCTCTCTCTCTCTCTCTCTTTCGCCCTCTCTCCCTCTCTCTCTCTTTCTTTCGCCCTCTCTCCCTCTCGCTATATATAATATATATAATATAATATATATATATATATATATATATAATATAACGCCATAATATACCGAGAGAGAAACCATGCATTATTATTATTATTATTATTATTATTATTATTAGTAGTATTTATTATTATATTATTATTATTATTTATATTATTATTTAGTTATTAATTTAATCAATGGCGGTTCAAAATGAGATAACGAGCTTTGCAAGCTGCTCATCATCAGAGTAATGTGTGCATAGTAAAATTGTGCTAGGTGTAAGACGTGGCGGGCTGTTTGTAATTATATATATATAATATAAATTATTAACAATATTATTTGTTGCATCATATAAGTACGTTGGATAAGTAAAAATGACAAAATACGAAATTAATGCGACCAACGGGGTACATCCCAGGCCCGTAGCCAGCTTATATTGGGGGGGGGTTTCGTTTTCGAATGTTGGCATTGCTCGGCAGGGCGTGTACAGGATTTGTACCAGGGGCGTCTAACCGTAACCCAAAAGTTGCAGCACGCGAAGGGGGTTGGGGCCCTCCCCCAGAAATTTTTACAATTACACCCCTTCAGATGCGTTTTTATGCGCGCGAGCAAGGGAGGGGTCCGGACTCCCTGGACCCGCCCTGTACACTCCCCTGCTCGGGCGCGAAGCGACCTGGCGAGGGAGCCAAGCGACCGAGCGGAGGGAGGGTGTGGGAAGGGGGTGTTCACTGTTAACCCTCCCGCACGATGGGGGGGGGGGAGCTCGGGGGGGGGGGCTTCGTTCAAACCCCCCGAACCCCCCCTGGCTACGGGCCTGCATCCCTATAGTAACCGAATGCCTGTTTGGGGCATTGCCAAAAGTCGACAAATTATGCGTTCGGGTAGGCCTACTGTATGCATCGCACTGCTGACAATTGTGACTACGACGATGACAATGATAAATAAATTTGTTTTAGGTAGTTTGACACAGACACAAAATATAAACTAAAAATTTTATACTATTATCAAAATGTCACATGCCTACTATTTTGCCAATAAATAATCATAATCATACTGTAGTATTATGCCTTGTAGTTTGTTGTATCTTCTGATAGATGGCGCGATGCACTTCCGTATGTGATGCTTTCTGTGCAACATAAAAATGGTGATCTAGCAAACGAGCAACAAAGAACAAATTATTCCTTTTCTACACGTCTACAGACGTTAAAAGTGCCTCACAAGTATACGCAGGTATACCTCTTGCTGTAATATAATATAATAAATTCTGTTAGGTTCAGTTTTAATGTAATTTTGCGTGCAAATATGCGCAATTTGATACGTATTTTTTCCCACCCAAACAAACATGGCAACGTCTCATCGTTGCCTACTTTTTGCTAAATATGTCAAGTTTTACTCCTAGTTCAAAGTTTATCAACTTGACATGCGGTTCACGTATGATTATAGACTTTGAAATACTGGTTTAAGTGTCGTGTGAACAGGTGGAAACGTTTTTTGTCGCCCCTTTTGGATCGCGTATATTCCACTTGTTAGGCATGGCAAATTGGCACAATAATGCAATATTCAAGTTGAATTAGATAGTAAATGAGTTTTGGCTCGCAGGTATGATTATGACTGCGTTTCTCATTCTAAAGGTTACTAGTTAACGATCTATTTAAACACATTTAACAAATAGCATCTGTTTGAGAATATCCAGTAGGCAGTATGCTCATACAGGTTGTGAATGTTCTCTCAGTACAAAACAGCCCCTGCTATGCATGCAACCACACTATATATAACCTAAACACGATATTTTAATCAAACAGGGACACCACAAAAAACTGTAAGAATAAGTACATTTCTACGAAATCTGGCACTGTTCCTTGAATGGCTATAGTATACATGTAGGCTACCTTCTGGTTCCACTTACCGTACAATGTGAGACACATGTTTGTAACGAATGCAACTTCAAACTTGCCTTTTAATGAAGTAAATAACTATTAATATTTTTTATAAATAGAATGTCTACGTAATTTCCATGGAATTTACATTATTTGCAGCCATTACCAAAAATTTATGGTATTTACTTGGGTATAAATTTTAACATCAGGGTTCTCCAAGAGCACTTATAGGGCCTGCCAGGCTATCATCGATCCCCGACATCCTAAAATGCACCCGCCACTCTAAATATCATAGCCGCCATGCTAATATTAGCTAAAAAATGCTAACAAATGCTAAAACTATGACCGTAAAGGCAGCCCCGCCATACTATAATGAAAAAGCTTGGAGAACCCTGAACATGCATTGTTTGTTTTCATAAACAGTGAGCAACTTAGTTAGAAATGTGAAAGGGTAGATGTAGTAATTGGCAAAAGATATTGAAATGATATTTATGCACAATTTTTCAAATTTCTATTGAGATAAGCCAGGTATTCATAATATTTGTTAATAACAATATGATGATTTAGTAGCTAGTAATAGTTTTGAAAAACTTTAAGCAGCTTTTGAATTTCAAGAAACTTATTAATAATAATAACTGTGATTAATTTAATTGTGTGTTAATTGATTTATACCTAACTGAAATCAATAAATAGTATTAATCATTTTTTAAATATTGCAATATGGAGTAGGTTGAGAAGTATTCATGATTAAATAGCCCTGAGCGATATTTGGGCTATTTTTCTGGGTGACAAAAAAATACTATCATACCAGACATAACTGGAACTGACGGTATGTGTAATATGTGTGTAAGTGGCTCTCTGGAATGTGTGTAGGCAAACCTAGCCATGTTATATGTTATACATATATCCAGCATGACAGTTGTCTATGAGCCCATCTCAGGGAAGTCTTTCAAAGATAGATGTGTAAAACCTAAAAACTCTCGCCTTATGTTACTTTGTTAGTATGTCATTAGCATGTAATTCTTAACTACATTCTATCTTTTCTTCAAGTTGTCTTGGATGTATACCAGCATTATCTTGCTGCACTACCAGCATGCACATATAAAATTACGTGGTGGTTGAGATATTCACATCTTTGTTTGGTGTGTGAGATGACAAACTATATTATATAACAAAATCATTTTCGCACAGCACTGCTATCCACTTTGTGTAATTGTGTTTTTTGTGTGTGGATGTAGGTGGTGTACAGTTTGGTAATTTGTTTATCGTTTGCATGTGAGACGAAATCTGGTTTATTACAAACTGTTGTATCGTTTACCACTTTTCAAGCATACGGTGTTTGTTTGTTTCAGTGAGGCATGGCTGACAGTGGCGGAACTTCGTTTGCATCTGCACTCGGATCCATTCCAGAGCCACAGCAGCAACAACAACAACAACAACAACAACAACAACAACAGCAACAACAACAACAACAACAACAACAACAACAACAACAACAACAACAACAGCAGCAACAACAACAACAACACCAACAGCAGCAACAGCAGCGGCAGCAGCAGCCTGCGTACCGATGCAAGGTGTGCAGCGCCACATTTTCTCAGCAGGACCTCCTGCAGTCGCACGTGAAGACCACGCACGGCCAGGGCGAGCCGTACCTCTGCCAGAAGTGCGGCAGCGTGACATTCCACAGGGGCCAAGATCCGGTGAAGTGCCACATATGCGAGAGCATCGCGTCGTCGAAGACGAACGACGCCGTTGCCGCGCCGACGACCATCGCCGACGCCGCAATGACGTCCGCCTCCAGCTCCGGCAACTTCTCATTCCCGAACTTTTCGATCAGCTACAGCGGCATGGAGAGCTCGCAGCTTCCGTACGGCCTCCCGTTCGCGCCGCAGCCCGTGCCGAACGACACGTGCCGGGCGTGGAACACTGTCGAGATCTTTCAGATGCGGGAGAAGGTGTACACGTGCGACGAATGCCGCGCTAGCTTCAGCGCGCTCGACAGTCTCAAGGAGCACCTCGCGACGCACACGGCCGTCAAGCCCTACCAGTATAAGATCCGTGAGAAATCGTTCAGCTGCACCGAGTGCAACGCGAGCTTCAGTCGGCAGGAGAGCCTCAACGAGCACATGGTGACGCACATCCCCCCCGTGTCGAAAACCTTTGACGCGTCCGCGGCAGGGCTCGTTGTTAAGACGGAGGGGAACGGCGGCGGGACGACGTTCAGCGATCAGGATCGTCTGAAGGAGCTGGCGACGCTCGCCGCGCAGCAGCCGTACCAGCAGCCGCCGCCGCCGCCGCAGGACAAGTCGTACTCGTGCATCGAGTGCGGATCTGTGTTCACCGACCAGATGCTGTTCACGCAGCATCTCGCGAGCCACGCCGCCGTGAAATCGTTCTTTGCGCACCAGTACAAGATCCACAGCTGCACGCTGTGCGGCATGAGCCTTCCGGACGAGGCGGCGCTCAAACAGCACCTCGCAGCTCACGTCACCGAGAAGCAGCAGGCGACATACAACCCGTTCGAGGTGTACACGTGCGACAAGTGCCCGTCGAAGTTCGCGACCGAGCACAGCCTGAAGGAGCACATCCTGTCGGCACACCGCGTCGCCGACACGCGCCCCGAGAGTTCCCCGCTGCGCGACGATAACTTCAATTGCGACGAGTGCGGAGTGTCGTTCAACGACGAGGATAGCCTCATCGGACACCTCGCGACGCACGCGACGGGCAAGGCGAACGACGGACAGAACAGCGACGACGAGGACATCGTCTGCACGCAGTGCGGCGAGGGGTTCCGCGAGGAGGAGGACTTCAAGGAGCATCTGATCTCGCACGCGGCCGAACGCCGCGCCGCGACGATGCAGTTCATCAACCCTCCGAGCAACGTGAGCAACGGGGGGATGAGCGGCGGCGCGGTGACGATCCATCAGCCGGAGCCGCTCAATGTCAGCTTGCTCAAGTGCAGCATCTGCATGGCGACGTTCAACGACGTGACGACGCTGCAGAAACACGAGCTCGCGCACTCGCTCGAAGCGGCCGTGTCCTTCCGATGCAGCATCTGCAACACCAAGTGCATGAGCCAGAAGGAACTCGACGCGCACCTTATCAGCCACACGAGCAGCAGCCTGTTCCCGTGCGGTCAGTGCGCCGACACGTTCCTCCAGAAGGAGCTGCTTGACCACCACACGGCCAGCGTCCACTACAAGGACTTTGCGATGATGGAGCCGCACAGTGACGCACGGCAGAAGCCGCGAAAACGACGCAGCAGCGGCGAGCGGCCCTACGCGTGCAAGCTCTGCGGAGCTTCGTACTCGTACCGCAGCGGGCTCTACGCGCACAAGAAGGTTCATGCGAAAGAGAACGCTGCCGCTGTCAAGGAAGAAGGGAAGGAGTTCGCCGTCGCGGTGGTGGCGCCGGCGATGCTCGACGATCGCGCGCCGACCCTCGGAGACGGCGCGGACAAGTCGATATGCGACGTGTGTGGCGAGGTGTGTAGCTGCAAGGAGGAGCTGGAGCATCACAAGAGCACGCACGCCGTCGGCAAGGTGAAGCTCTACCGCTGCGACGCGTGCGGCAACGCCTTCCGCCAACTCGCAGACCTACAGAATCACAAGCGAGCAAAGCACGAACCGGACGGTGGCGCCGCCGCTGCTGCCGCCGCCGCCGCCGCCGCCGCCGCAGCCGCCGACCAGCTGTTCAAGTGCGATATCTGTCGCGCGACGTTCATGAACAACAACGGGCTTTCGCAGCACATGCGCTCGCACGACGGCGACCGCCCGTACAAGTGCCAGCAGTGCACTGCGTCGTTCAACAGCAAGGCGGGCCTCGCGCGACACATCCGCACGCACACGGGCGAAAAGCCGTACCGCTGCGAGGAATGCAGCAGCACGTTCTCCGACCGCAATGGGCTCATCTCGCACGCGCGCATACACACGGGCGAGAAGCCATTCAAGTGCGAGATCTGCGCAACGACGTTTCGAGCGTCATACACGCTCAAGTGTCACAAGCGCACGCACACCGGTGAGAAGCCGTACCGCTGCTCGGAGTGCACCGCCGCCTTCACGCAGCCGCACAGTCTGAAGACGCACATCAAGACGCAGCACAGCTAGTCCCAAGTCCACGACGGCGTGCGCGGTGTGTGCGATAGCGCGCGTGCGCAGGAACCCGCGCGTGCGTGCGCAGGAACGTGCGCGCGTGTGGCAGCAGTTGTGCGCAGGGACACGTGCGTGCGGCGGCTGTTGTGCGCAGGGACGCGTGCGTGCATGCGCAGGGACGTGCTTACGGCGGCTGTTGTACGCAGGAACGTGCGTACGGCGGCTGTTGTACGCAGGGACGTGCATGCGCGGCGGCTGTTGTACGCAGGGACGTGCATGCGCGGCCAGCGGATGTTGTACGCAGGGGACGTGGCATGCGCGGCGGCTGTTGTACGCAGGGACGTGCATGCGCGGCGGCTTGTTGTAGTCGCGATGACGTGCATGCGCGGCGGCTGTTGTACGCAGGGACGTGCATGCGCGGCGGCTGTTGTACGCAGGGACGTGCATGCGTGTGGCGTCTGTTGTGCCGCAGGGACGCGCGTGTGTGCATAGGGACGCGTGTGCGTGCGTGAGAGCGCGCAGGCTGAAGTGTGCACGGCTTCATTCCATTCCGTCTGCAGCGGGCGCATGTGTAAGAGAGAGAGAGTCACAGTTTCACCGAGCTACAGCCACGAGTCAACAGTTTTAGTAGGAGGAAGGAGGTACGACGCGGCGATGATCCGATTCGGAACGGTTGCCCGTCGTCAAACTGTCGTCACATGCACACTGTGCAGCACTCTCTATGAGTATGCTGTGTGTAGATCTTTCACGCGAATCGTAATACCTTCGCCGAAAGCGGGAGAAGGTCGCGAGTGAGAAAGAAAGTTAATTTCTCACTATAAAAAATCACTTACTACTGCTACTACGATCTACCCCTTGCATTTACCTGTCAATCAATGCTCCGGCATTAAGGTGAGGTGTTTTTGATCCATTGTTGTATACTGTATATATAAATATTTTAATCAAATCGCCACATAGATACAGTGTGTAGTATATTGAAATCGGTCATATCCCAATTATTATCGCGAGCCATGTATTCTCTTACATATCTCAAACATTTTTCTTAAAATCATCTTTAGGATGCACCTGCCAAACTTCACTCTTGAGATATCCCGTGGGCGTGCAGCAGTCAAAGTGTCATCCGTATTCTCTGTTCCGTCGCAACTACACATGTACATGTGTTTACTTACACGAGCATGTTTTAATATGTGAGCAGAACTGGTATGCCATGCATGTAACGTCTTGACATTTTTAAGGCATCTCTCTTCGTGCAAGTGGAAATATTGTGTTTGTTTTAGCGGTTAATCCATGCGTATGTTATCGTGTCTGCGCAGCCATAATTAATATAGAAGCGATCGAAAT